CTTCAGACATGTTGGGTTTCACACCAGCCCTTCCACAAGGCTCGTCCACAGCCAAAATCTTCCACAGCATTGGTGAAGAGTTTGGATATGAAGTTCTTTTCCCCACAACAATCGGGCTGGTGGCTCCAGCTGAAGTGAACCTGGAAGCGTGGAGGCTCCAGGCTTGCAAGGCTTTACAGGAGATTGGGGAAGAGGTGTACAGAAGTGACTTCACGAGTTCAACCTTCATGAGTGAAGTCATCATTGATGGCAAGTGCTTGGCAGTTGATGTTGCTGGAAGTCTGCTGAAGTGGTGGCAAACCAATGGACAGGAAGGTACCGTCGTCTACATCGACTACCCATTGAATCCTTTGTCCATCGATGGACAACGATGGACCAAGAGCTTGCAGAGAGCTGTGGAAGACCATCATCGGGGCAGATGGTATGTGCATGGATATGGTCCACTCTTGTCCAGCCAATCTGGTGAGATTCGCGAGTTCTTTCCATATTTGGTTGTTGCAACGGTTTGCGCGGTCCTTCTCATTTCCATTTGCTTCACACGATCTGTTTTATGGAGCTTGCGGGCCCTCCTTTGCCTGTTCTGGATGTTAGCTGTTCTTTGGTGTTTGTCCTCCCTCGTCTTTCCTGAAGGGCTGTACTACATTGTGCCTTCCATGATGTTGCCCTTCCTGGTGGGTGTGGCCTTGGATTATGACATTTTCTATACTGAGGCAGTCTTGGAAGAATGCAATGGTGGCCTCCCAGTGAAAAAGGCTGGCATCAAAGCGCTTGAGAAGACTGCCAACATCATCACAGCAGCCGGAGTGGTCATGATAATAGCCTTCTGCCCACTCCTGCTTTCTTCAACGTTAGTCTTGAAGCAGATTGGTTTCATGGCAATTGGTGGTTTGTCTATCAGTGCTTTCTGGAACACCAAAGTGGCCATGCCCGTGTGCTTGCACTTCTTCGGGAAGCACAGCTTTTGGCCTCGGAATTTGGAGAAAAAGCAGCGCTGCCAGCAGCCAATTGATGCCATTTTCCTGGGGCACCCTGCCTACCTGGTAGATACGTTTACCTTGTTGACCTCGCCTGACACCGAAAAGCCATGGAGCGCATCGTGGTGGATGTACCTCTTCCTTCCTGTTCTTTGGCTGTTTGGTTTCGTTGGGGCACATATCTTGAGGCGCCTTGGCTTGCCAAATCATGTTGTTTTGGATGACTACGAGTACAACGGCCTTCATGTCCAGACTTGGGGGGTTCTGCACTTCGGCCGCCACTTTCGCAACTCTTTGGAACTTCATGATGCTCGACGCAACGTGAGGGCAGCAGCCAGCAGGGCTGAGAAGACCGGCGCCCGGGTGCTAGGATTAGGTGCGCTCAACAAGGCAGAATCTTTGAACCGTGGAGGCCTGGACTTGGTTCAACACTTGCCTTTAAGCCGAAGCATGTGTGTGACTCATGGAGATCATCTCACAGCTGCTGCAGTGGTGGAGAATGTGCTACGGCTGGTCGCAAGGTTCCCTGAGTTTCGGGAGAAAATCTTCATGACCGGAGCCACGGGGAAGACCGGGAAGGCCGTTGCGCTGGCCTTATTGCGCCGCGGTGTCTCCGTGATGTGCCACAGTGGCAGCAAGCAAAGACGAGATGAATTGGAGACTCATGGGCTAGCCACTGCATCCCACCTGCGTGATGGGGCTGACTGCGGCATGTGGATTGTGGGTAAATATGACCAGTTGGTGAACCAAGTCATGCCTCTATCTGCTGTTGCCTGTGTCTTTGCGGTGCCAAATCCAGTTAATCCAGTGTCCCGCTCAGATGTCATGGTATATGCTGGTGCCACCATGCAGATTGATGAGTCGCGCTTGACAGGACAACGAGCAAATCTGAAGCTCTTACGCCAAGAGATTTATGCATGCAATGCAGCCACCCTGCTTCTTGCATCAGGTTCCAAGCAGTTCGATGATTTGGGTGAAGTGGATCCACTGACATTGGAAGGCTACCTGGAGGGGGCTGAATCCATTGGCATCACTCTGAAGCCTCTTGAAGACTTGCATAGTAAGGGGCGGTAGCTCTTAGAATTTTGGGTTGTGACCTTTTTTGCACATTTGTGCTACAGCTACAGCTACCGCGGCGCAGGAGGCCAAAGGGCCTTAAGCCTTAGCGGAATGTGGCTCTCTCACAACCATTTTTCCAGTTGCGCAGCATGCGCAGTGGTTGTACAGCATGCACAGAGGTCATGGGATTGATCGACGCAATAGCAAACCAGACAACACGAAGACCCCAAGTTTTGATTTCTCATCAAGTTCGATGAATCTCGCTTGAAATGGGCTTGATGAGCCATGAAAGGTTTGCTGTTGTGTCTAAGTCCATGTCATTGCCTAGAGGCTGTGCCAACGCCCGTTTTGAGGGTTGAAAAGAAGTGTGCTTGATGTGCCAATCCCTGGTCCAATCGTGTTGGGTTGCCACCCTGGTTTCGTCCCCTACAGACGTTTTTATTGAATTCCTGCTTCAGGTTCAAGATCGAAGCGTCCTTTGACCGGGAAAACTGGTGGCGAAAAAAATGGTGGGTTCGAAGGTGCGGCGGTGGTGGGGCATTGAGAGCTGGAGAGCTTGCATTCATTGGAGGCATCAGGCCCACGCCTTGCCCCTGAAACTCCAGTGAAACTGACTGTCCGACGGAGTTCTTGCCGTTCCGGACGATTCAGTCCAGGTTTGGAGTGTTTGCTTTACCCCTGTCATTCCGGTGGCAAAGAACTTGTGAAGTTTTGAGTTGCGAGCAATGGAGAAGATCCCATTGAAAAACCACCGGAAGTTTGATGCTTTTGCTTGAACTTATCTTTGCAATCACGTTGGTGGAGGTCATGAAAATTGCAGCCACACGGGTCGCTCGAGCACAGGACTTGCAGTTGACATAGAGATATATGTTTGCGGCGTTTTTGTTCCGAATGTGTTTCCTTGCATTTTCCCAAAAGACAATCCAAAACTCCGCAGATGCTTCCTGCAGGAAGTTCAAATCCATGGCCTGCAGAGAGCGTTGAGCGCCGGGGTGCCTTGGATGCGGCGCCAGTTCAAAGTTGTTAGTTTTCTTTTTAAGTTTGTGATGATTTTGTGCTGATTTTGATGCCGTTGCTTTCAGTTTGAACGCTTTGCGCTTCCAAAATGATCTGAAAGCCATTCATCATGGGGAAGTTTCATGACATCATGCATCATAGCACAGCTTCACATGCGACCATGAAACCCAGCGTGGTTACAACGGCGCAACGACATTCAGCCAGGTTCGCACAGCGACACGTGTGTCTTTGCAAAGCTATGTTCATTGCTCTTACAGATGCCATGTACATGGATGCAGGGTTGAAACAGCGTGCACTTCAACACTGGGGGTCTTAAAACAAGGGAAGTTTACACAGGCTTAGCCTCCCTGTATATGCAACTGATGCAAAAGTGAACAGTGACAAGTCTTTAGGGGCAGGGTAACGTGTGGTTGAGCATGGATGCAAGAATGACCAGATAGGGCAGCAATACTAGTCTTCTGATAAGCAACGTTGCCTTTGACGGACCTTCCCGCTGAGCCCATGCAATTTGCATAGATGCAAGAGCGATAGATGTTCTGCGTGTGTGTGAATTAAGTTTTGCAAGTAGCAAGGGCATTTCAGTGCTGCAGGGGAATGGGTGTATACCGTATACCAGTGTTTGATAGTAGAACAGCTGCGCCAGGGAGAAATTAGCCTGGCGCTTTTACAATTATGGGCTGTACCATTCCAGCTGGATGTTTACTGTCAAACTGTTGGCATTTGTTGGCATGTGGGGTTTGGGGGGGTCACTTGTTTCAAGCACATGTGCAAATGTTTGATTGGCCCATCTAGCATCCAAAAACGTCACCATACGTTCGAACAGTGTTGGACACCTCTGTTGGACGTTGGACACAGAGCCCTTAACCAGGATGATTTCTGCGCGTGTGAAAAACAGCCTCTTTGAGATTGGGCTCTTAGGATGTTGCCTTCGGGGAAACTGCCAATGCGCCTGCCTCACGCCCCAGGCTGGGGTATATCCTGGGATCACAAACGGAGATTGCGGTTTTGGAAGTAGCTTCTCCCATCGCTTTTCAGCTTTTCCATGAGATATCCGGAATTTACATGAATTTGTCACTATCTACGGTAGCGCATGTCCAACCGTCCAACCCTGCTTGACAGTGGCACAATGTGGCACATGTTGTTCAACCTGATTCTGCCAGGTCGAAACCCTCATCGGACACGGACAGGCGGGTCATGAGTTGCGTGTACCAGGCCGAAAGTCTGACATCAGTGAAAAACTACAGCACATGGGATGAATTTCAAAGAGGCTTGGAAAGGTGTTTTGCGATTACTTGTCTTTTCCGAATTTTTGAGTTTGGTTGTTTTCTGTTTAAACTTTGACCCTCACAGGAAGCATGTGTACAATCAAGATTCGGCCAAGGCGCCGACGCTTGCACCAGCAGCAACGCCGGGTCCTGGTCAGGCTTGGAAACATAGGGCAAGATTGGCGAGATGTTCCTACCATTTGCATCCATTTGCGCGCTTTGGAGATGGCTGCTGTACATGATTAGAGGAAAGATTTGAAATAATTCACATGATTTCTCATAATTCGAGTCGTTTTGGTGATGGTAAAATCAATTATCTTTGAGGCCACGGAAGTCCTGTGACTTTTTGGGTCAGCCACTGCCGACGATTTCCAGGTCTCCAACTGCTGGGCTCTTAGGGATCGGTCTAGATTGCGATGTCACGGCGATGTCCGGCTCGCAGCATGCCGTCTTGATCAGTTTTGGTGTTGAGCTTTTGGCATGTTTTGGCTTTTTGGTGTTGAGCCAACAACAGAAAACTACCACAAGATATTCAAGATACCATTTCTTTGTATTGTCGCGCAAAAAGCAACCATGCGCCCTGGGCCAACCTTTGTGACACCCTTGTGACACCCTTGCGACCTTTCAGTTTTCGGCTTCAGACGGCTTGCCACGCATTCCAGCTATTTTCCAGCTATCTTCCACCATGCGTATGCAGCGTACGCAATGTGCACAGTGGATGCTGTGGTATCGCCTGGTCCTGTTCGCCTGGACCGCAGTCCTCATCGCCGGGGGCGCTGTCGCTTGGAAATTCATCTCGGAGCGCGGCTTTCATCTTCCAGCGATTCCAGGCGCCATGCCATGAAATGCCATGAAATGCCATGAAAACCCTGTTTCGATCGTATGATGTGCAGCAACTGCCGTATAGATCCCCAGAACATCGAGCATCCCAGAACATCCCAGAACATCCCAGAACATCCTAGAACCTCCCAGAACCCAACTTTCGCACAGTGACACATGTTGATCATGTTGCATGCTGTTGCCGTGCCAGGCAGCCAGTACGACAAAGAGGAGCAGTCGTACCTGGGTTTCTTCGGTGATGGTGTGGATGGGGCTCAGGCTGCGCTGGTGCTTGGCAGTGATTCTCCAGTCATGGCGATGACCAACGTATCTACCTGTCAGATCAAACCAGCTCTGCAACAAGTTGGGAGCACTGGAAACACTTTCCAGTTGGAGTTGTCCTGTCAGAATGAGTCTGCACCTGGCGGTGGATGTATTACATCTTCACAACTCAGAAGTGAAGTGTACTCGCTGGTGAGCATGTTCATGTCCAACATGATGTCGCCAGAGAATTTGTCTCACTTCCTCGAGCTACAGGTGGAACCAATGCTGGATGCTGCTCCGGAGATGTTGGCTTGTCCACATGTGGAGGACACCTTTCAAAAAAACCTGGCAGAAGCATCTTTCCAAGTGGAAGAGTCCCTTCGCCAGAAAATGCCGAACTGCGACTTAGCAGTTCTGTCTTTCTGGTCTCTGCCTCCTCAACAGTTTCAGCGCAACTTGACCTTTGCAGAGTTCAAGTTTGAAGTCACGGTCACGCTCCCAGCAGGAAGCTTTTGGAATGTTTTTCAAAAACTGCTCAGCTCCAAAAGCCAAGAACAAATCATGGTGGCAGTTCGTGCGCACACATGCAACGGCTTGCCAGTTGCTGACTTCTCACAGGAGGCTCTTCAAGTGGCCAACATTCTGAAGGATGTTGCCGAGGCGGCAGAGGGCATCGACGGTACCAACTTGAAAGCCGAAGTGATGTCCTTCGCCATCATCGTGGAAAGTATCAGAGATGGGGTTGAAGTGGTGATGGCCATGTCAACAGGTCGGGCCTGGTAGGGATTTTCAGTTTTCATCAGAAATGCGGCAGCCGAGAAGCTTCACAGAGAAATGCAGCCGTTGTAGTTCCAGTGTCTTTTTCAGCCTTTTCAGCTTTATTTTTTTGTGAAAAGTCTCCATGTCATTTTGGAGTGCGGATTGAATATAGCCGAGTGCTGCTTGAAACCGGAAACCTGCTTGGATGACATGTTTGCTGAATTTCTACTGGTGCAGGTACCCTTCCCCTTGGGATTGCGGTCTTGGCATACATGGTGGGGAACCCGCGCTTGGTGATCATTGCCATCATCAATGTACTAGCTGCCGTCACAGGTTCGGTGCTGGTCATGGAGTGCCTTGTAACCCACCTGATGCCGGTGAGCATTTTCACGCCGCCCTTCTTGATTGCAGTGGTCCTGTCCATGTCCATTGACTATGCCTTGTTTCTTTTGAGCAGATTCCAGAAGGAGACAGCAGCAGGTGCAGCAGCAGCTGAAGCCATGGCTATCAGCCTTTCCACATCTGGCCGTATCGTCGCGCAAGCTGGTGTGATCTTAGCATGCTGCTTTGCCTGCTTACTGATGACGCCAGTGCAACTGGTCAGTGCTATGGGAGCAGGTGGGCTTGTGGCGGTGGCTGTGGCCATGGCGGCCAACCTCACCTTGACCCCAGCTCTGATTTTAGGAACGCGACCCACTTTCTGGATTAGCAAGCCCAATGCACCTTGTCGACCTTGTCGTCAAGCTCCAGAGGGAGATGCTGAAGCACCAGCAGGTGACGAAGAGTTGCATGTTCCCAATGTTTCCATGGGCTTTTGGCGGAGATTTGGGGAGCGGTTGACGAGCTGTGCCAAGCCTCTTCTGTTCTTGATTCTACTCTCTGCAGCCCCTTGCGTTTGGAAGGACTCGATGCCTTCTTCAGACATGTTGGGTTTCACACCAGCCCTTCCACAAGGCTCGTCCACAGCCAAAATCTTCCACAGCATTGGTGAAGAGTTTGGATATGAAGTTCTTTTCCCCACAACAATCGGGCTGGTGGCTCCAGCTGAAGTGAACCTGGAAGCGTGGAGGCTCCAGGCTTGCAAGGCTTTACAGGAGATTGGGGAAGAGGTGTACAGAAGTGACTTCACGAGTTCAACCTTCATGAGTGAAGTCATCATTGATGGCAAGTGCTTGGCAGTTGATGTTGCTGGAAGTCTGCTGAAGTGGTGGCAAACCAATGGACAGGAAGGTACCGTCGTCTACATCGACTACCCATTGAATCCTTTGTCCATCGATGGACAACGATGGACCAAGAGCTTGCAGAGAGCTGTGGAAGACCATCATCGGGGCAGATGGTATGTGCATGGATATGGTCCACTCTTGTCCAGCCAATCTGGTGAGATTCGCGAGTTCTTTCCATATTTGGTTGTTGCAACGGTTTGCGCGGTCCTTCTCATTTCCATTTGCTTCACACGATCTGTTTTATGGAGCTTGCGGGCCCTCCTTTGCCTGTTCTGGATGTTAGCTGTTCTTTGGTGTTTGTCCTCCCTCGTCTTTCCTGAAGGGCTGTACTACATTGTGCCTTCCATGATGTTGCCCTTCCTGGTGGGTGTGGCCTTGGATTATGACATTTTCTATACTGAGGCAGTCTTGGAAGAATGCAATGGTGGCCTCCCAGTGAAAAAGGCTGGCATCAAAGCGCTTGAGAAGACTGCCAACATCATCACAGCAGCCGGAGTGGTCATGATAATAGCCTTCTGCCCACTCCTGCTTTCTTCAACGTTAGTCTTGAAGCAGATTGGTTTCATGGCAATTGGTGGTTTGTCTATCAGTGCTTTCTGGAACACCAAAGTGGCCATGCCCGTGTGCTTGCACTTCTTCGGGAAGCACAGCTTTTGGCCTCGGAATTTGGAGAAAAAGCAGCGCTGCCAGCAGCCAATTGATGCCATTTTCCTGGGGCACCCTGCCTACCTGGTAGATACGTTTACCTTGTTGACCTCGCCTGACACCGAAAAGCCATGGAGCGCATCGTGGTGGATGTACCTCTTCCTTCCTGTTCTTTGGCTGTTTGGTTTCGTTGGGGCACATATCTTGAGGCGCCTTGGCTTGCCAAATCATGTTGTTTTGGATGACTACGAGTACAACGGCCTTCATGTCCAGACTTGGGGGGTTCTGCACTTCGGCCGCCACTTTCGCAACTCTTTGGAACTTCATGATGCTCGACGCAACGTGAGGGCAGCAGCCAGCAGGGCTGAGAAGACCGGCGCCCGGGTGCTAGGATTAGGTGCGCTCAACAAGGCAGAATCTTTGAACCGTGGAGGCCTGGACTTGGTTCAACACTTGCCTTTAAGCCGAAGCATGTGTGTGACTCATGGAGATCATCTCACAGCTGCTGCAGTGGTGGAGAATGTGCTACGGCTGGTCGCAAGGTTCCCTGAGTTTCGGGAGAAAATCTTCATGACCGGAGCCACGGGGAAGACCGGGAAGGCCGTTGCGCTGGCCTTATTGCGCCGCGGTGTCTCCGTGATGTGCCACAGTGGCAGCAAGCAAAGACGAGATGAATTGGAGACTCATGGGCTAGCCACTGCATCCCACCTGCGTGATGGGGCTGACTGCGGCATGTGGATTGTGGGTAAATATGACCAGTTGGTGAACCAAGTCATGCCTCTATCTGCTGTTGCCTGTGTCTTTGCGGTGCCAAATCCAGTTAATCCAGTGTCCCGCTCAGATGTCATGGTATATGCTGGTGCCACCATGCAGATTGATGAGTCGCGCTTGAAAGGACAACGAGCAAATCTGAAGCTCTTACGCCAAGAGATTTATGCATGCAATGCAGCCACCCTGCTTCTTGCATCAGGTTCCAAGCAGTTCGATGATTTGGGTGAAGTGGATCCACTGACATTGGAAGGCTACCTGGAGGGGGCTGAATCCATTGGCATCACTCTGAAGCCTCTTGAAGACTTGCATAGTAAGGGGCGGTAGCTCTTAGAATTTTGGGTTGTGACCTTTTTTGCACATTTGTGCTACAGCTACAGCTACCGCGGCGCAGGAGGCCAAAGGGCCTTAAGCCTTAGCGGAATGTGGCTCTCTCACAACCATTTTTCCAGTTGCGCAGCATGCGCAGTGGTTGTACAGCATGCACAGAGGTCATGGGATTGATCGACGCAATAGCAAACCAGACAACACGAAGACCCCAAGTTTTGATTTCTCATCAAGTTCGATGAATCTCGCTTGAAATGGGCTTGATGAGCCATGAAAGGTTTGCTGTTGTGTCTAAGTCCATGTCATTGCCTAGAGGCTGTGCCAACGCCCGTTTTGAGGGTTGAAAAGAAGTGTGCTTGATGTGCCAATCCCTGGTCCAATCGTGTTGGGTTGCCACCCTGGTTTCGTCCCCTACAGACGTTTTTATTGAATTCCTGCTTCAGGTTCAAGATCGAAGCGTCCTTTGACCGGGAAAACTGGTGGCGAAAAAAATGGTGGGTTCGAAGGTGCGGCGGTGGTGGGGCATTGAGAGCTGGAGAGCTTGCATTCATTGGAGGCATCAGGCCCGCGCCTTGCCCCTGAAACTCTAGTGAAACTGACTGTCCGACGGAGTTCTTGCCGTTCCGGACGATTCAGTCCAGGTTTGGAGTGTTTGCTTTACCCCTGTCATTCCGGTGGCAAAGAACTTGTGAAGTTTTGAGTTGCGAGCAATGGAGAAGATCCCATTGAAAAACCACCGGAAGTTTGATGCTTTTGCTTGAACTTATCTTTGCAATCACGTTGGTGGAGGTCATGAAAATTGCAGCCACACGGGTCGCTCGAGCACAGGACTTGCAGTTGACATAGAGATATATGTTTGCGGCGTTTTTGTTCCGAATGTGTTTCCTTGCATTTTCCCAAAAGACAATCCAAAACTCCGCAGATGCTTCCTGCAGGAAGTTCAAATCCATGGCCTGCAGAGAGCGTTGAGCGCCGGGGTGCCTTGGATGCGGCGCCAGTTCAAAGTTGTTAGTTTTCTTTTTAAGTTTGTGATGATTTTGTGCTGATTTTGATGCCGTTGCTTTCAGTTTGAACGCTTTGCGCTTCCAAAATGATCTGAAAGCCATTCATCATGGGGAAGTTTCATGACATCATGCATCATAGCACAGCTTCACATGCGACCATGAAACCCAGCGTGGTTACAACGGCGCAACGACATTCAGCCAGGTTCGCACAGCGACACGTGTGTCTTTGCAAAGCTATGTTCATTGCTCTTACAGATGCCATGTACATGGATGCAGGGTTGAAACAGCGTGCACTTCAACACTGGGGGTCTTAAAACAAGGGAAGTTTACACAGGCTTAGCCTCCCTGTATATGCAACTGATGCAAAAGTGAACAGTGACAAGTCTTTAGGGGCAGGGTAACGTGTGGTTGAGCATGGATGCAAGAATGACCAGATAGGGCAGCAATACTAGTCTTCTGATAAGCAACGTTGCCTTTGACGGACCTTCCCGCTGAGCCCATGCAATTTGCATAGATGCAAGAGCGATAGATGTTCTGCGTGTGTGTGAATTAAGTTTTGCAAGTAGCAAGGGCATTTCAGTGCTGCAGGGGAATGGGTGTATACCGTATACCAGTGTTTGATAGTAGAACAGCTGCGCCAGGGAGAAATTAGCCTGGCGCTTTTACAATTATGGGCTGTACCATTCCAGCTGGATGTTTACTGTCAAACTGTTGGCATTTGTTGGCATGTGGGGTTTGGGGGGGTCACTTGTTTCAAGCACATGTGCAAATGTTTGATTGGCCCATCTAGCATCCAAAAACGTCACCATACGTTCGAACAGTGTTGGACACCTCTGTTGGACGTTGGACACAGAGCCCTTAACCAGGATGATTTCTGCGCGTGTGAAAAACAGCCTCTTTGAGATTGGGCTCTTAGGATGTTGCCTTCGGGGAAACTGCCAATGCGCCTGCCTCACGCCCCAGGCTGGGGTATATCCTGGGATCACAAACGGAGATTGCGGTTTTGGAAGTAGCTTCTCCCATCGCTTTTCAGCTTTTCCATGAGATATCCGGAATTTACATGAATTTGTCACTATCTACGGTAGCGCATGTCCAACCGTCCAACCCTGCTTGACAGTGGCACAATGTGGCACATGTTGTTCAACCTGATTCTGCCAGGTCGAAACCCTCATCGGACACGGACAGGCGGGTCATGAGTTGCGTGTACCAGGCCGAAAGTCTGACATCAGTGAAAAACTACAGCACATGGGATGAATTTCAAAGAGGCTTGGAAAGCTGTTTTGCGATTACTTGTCTTTTCCGAATTTTTGAGTTTGGTTGTTTTCTGTTTAAACTTTGACCCTCACAGGAAGCATGTGTACAATCAAGATTCGGCCAAGGCGCCGACGCTTGCACCAGCAGCAACGCCGGGTCCTGGTCAGGCTTGGAAACATAGGGCAAGATTGGCGAGATGTTCCTACCATTTGCATCCATTTGCGCGCTTTGGAGATGGCTGCTGTACATGATTAGAGGAAAGATTTGAAATAATTCACATGATTTCTCATAATTCGAGTCGTTTTGGTGATGGTAAAATCAATTATCTTTGAGGCCACGGAAGTCCTGTGACTTTTTGGGTCAGCCACTGCCGACGATTTCCAGGTCTCCAACTGCTGGGCTCTTAGGGATCGGTCTAGATTGCGATGTCACGGCGATGTCCGGCTCGCAGCATGCCGTCTTGATCAGTTTTGGTGTTGAGCTTTTGGCATGTTTTGGCTTTTTGGTGTTGAGCCAACAACAGAAAACTACCACAAGATATTCAAGATACCATTTCTTTGTATTGTCGCGCAAAAAGCAACCATGCGCCCTGGGCCAACCTTTGTGACACCCTTGTGACACCCTTGCGACCTTTCAGTTTTCGGCTTCAGACGGCTTGCCACGCATTCCAGCTATTTTCCAGCTATTTTCCAGCTATCTTCCACCATGCGTATGCAGCGTACGCAATGTGCACAGTGGATGCTGTGGTATCGCCTGGTCCTGTTCGCCTGGACCGCAGTCCTCATCGCCGGGGGCGCTGTCGCTTGGAAATTCATCTCGGAGCGCGGCTTTCATCTTCCAGCGATTCCAGGCGCCATGCCATGAAATGCCATGAAATGCCATGAAAACCATGTTTCGATCGTATGATGTGCAGCAACTGCCGTATAGATCCCCAGAACATTGAGCATCCCAGAACATCCCAGAACATCCCAGAACCCAACTTTCGCACAGTGACACATGTTGATCATGTTGCATGCTGTTGCCGTGCCAGGCAGCCAGTACGACAAAGAGGAGCAGTCGTACCTGGGTTTCTTCGGTGATGGTGTGGATGGGGCTCAGGCTGCGCTGGTGCTTGGCAGTGATTCCCCAGTCATGGCGATGACCAACGTATCTACCTGTCAGATCAAACCAGCTCTGCAACAAGTTGGGAGCACTGGAAACACTTTCCAGTTGGAGTTGTCCTGTCAGAATGAGTCTGCACCTGGCGGTGGATGTATCACATCTTCACAACTCAGAAGTGAAGTGTACTCGCTGGTGAGCATGTTCATGTCCAACATGATGTCGCCAGAGAATTTGTCTCACTTCCTCGAGCTACAGGTGGAACCAATGCTGGATGCTGCTCCGGAGATGTTGGCTTGTCCGCATGTTGAGGACACCTTTCAAAAAAACCTGGCAGAAGCATCTTTCCAAGTGGAAGAGTCCCTTCGCCAGAAAATGCCGAACTGCGACTTAGCAGTTCTGTCTTTCTGGTCTCTGCCTCCTCAACAGTTTCAGCGCAACTTGACCTTTGCAGAGTTCAAGTTTGAAGTCACGGTCACGCTCCCGGCAGGAAGCTTTTGGAATGTTTTTCAAAAACTGCTCAGCTCCAAAAGCCAAGAACAAATCATGGTGGCAGTTCGTGCGCACACATGCAACGGCTTGCCAGTTGCTGACTTCTCACAGGAGGCTCTTCAAGTGGCCAACATTCTGAAGGATGTTGCAGAGGCGGCAGAGGGCATCGACGGTACCAACTTGAAAGCCGAAGTGATGTCCTTCGCCATCATCGTGGAAAGTATCAGAGATGGGGTTGAAGTGGTGATGGCCATGTCAACAGGTCGGGCCTGGTAGGGATTTTCAGTTTTCATCAGAAATGCGGCAGCCGTTGTAGTTCCAGTGTCTTTTTCAGCCTTTTCAGCTTTATTTTTTTGTGAAAAGTCTCCATGTCATTTTGGAGTGCGGATTGAATATAGCCGAGTGCTGCTTGAAACCGGAAACCTGCTTGGATGACATGTTTGCTGAATTTCTACTGGTGCAGGTACCCTTCCCCTTGGGATTGCGGTCTTGGCATACATGGTGGGGAACCCGCGCTTGGTGATCATTGCCATCATCAATGTACTAGCTGCCGTCACAGGTTCGGTGCTGGTCATGGAGTGCCTTGTAACCCACCTGATGCCGGTGAGCATTTTCACGCCGCCCTTCTTGATTGCAGTGGTCCTGTCCATGTCCATTGACTATGCCTTGTTTCTTTTGAGCAGATTCCAGAAGGAGACAGCAGCAGGTGCAGCAGCAGCTGAAGCCATGGCTATCAGCCTTTCCACATCTGGCCGTATCGTCGCGCAAGCTGGTGTGATCTTAGCATGCTGCTTTGCCTGCTTACTGATGACGCCAGTGCAACTGGTCAGTGCTATGGGAGCAGGTGGGCTTGTGGCGGTGGCTGTGGCCATGGCGGCCAACCTCACCTTGACCCCAGCTCTGATTTTAGGAACGCGACCCACTTTCTGGATTAGCAAACCCAATGCACCTTGTCGACCTTGTCGTCAAGCTCCAGAGGGAGATGCTGAAGCACCAGCAGGTGACGAAGAGTTGCATGTTCCCAATGTTTCCATGGGCTTTTGGCGGAGATTTGGGGAGCGGTTGACGAGCTGTGCCAAGCCTCTTCTGTTCTTGATTCTACTCTCTGCAGCCCCTTGCGTTTGGAAGGACTCGATGCCTTCTTCAGACATGTTGGGTTTCACACCAGCCCTTCCACAAGGCTCGTCCACAGCCAAAATCTTCCACAGCATTGGTGAAGAGTTTGGATATGAAGTTCTTTTCCCCACAACAATTGGGCTGGTGGCTCCAGCTGAAGTGAACCTGGAAGAATGGAGGCTCCAGGCTTGCAAGGCTTTACAGGAGATTGGGGAAGAGGTGTACAGAAGTGACTTCACGAGTTCAACCTTCATGAGTGAAGTCATCATTGATGGCAAGTGCTTGGCAGTTGATGTTGCTGGAAGTCTGCTGAAGTGGTGGCAAACCAATGGACAGGAAGGTACCGTCGTCTACATCGACTACCCATTGAATCCTTTGTCCATCGATGGACAACGATGGACCAAGAGCTTGCAGAGAGCTGTGGAAGACCATCATCGGGGCAGATGGTATGTGCATGGATATGGTCCACTCTTGTCCAGCCAATCTGGTGAGATTCGCGGGTTCTTTCCATATTTGGTTGTTGCAACGGTTTGCGCGGTCCTTCTCATTTCCATTTGCTTCACACGATCTGTTTTATGGAGCTTGCGGGCCCTCCTTTGCCTGTTCTGGATGTTAGCTGTTCTTTGGTGTTTGTCCTCCCTCGTCTTTCCTGAAGGGCTGTACTACATTGTGCCTTCCATGATGTTGCCCTTCCTGGTGGGTGTGGCCTTGGATTATGACATTTTCTATACTGAGGCAGTCTTGGAAGAATGCAATGGTGGCCTCCCAGTGAAAAAGGCTGGCATCAAAGCGCTTGAGAAGACTGCCAACATCATCACAGCAGCCGGAGTGGTCATGATAATAGCCTTTTGCCCACTCCTGCTTTCTTCAACGTTAGTCTTGAAGCAGATTGGTTTCATGGCAATTGGTGGTTTGTCTATCAGTGCTTTCTGGAACACCAAAGTGGCCATGCCCGTGTGCTTGCACTTCTTCGGGAAGCACAGCTTTTGGCCTCGGAATTTGGAGAAAAAGCAGCGCTGCCAGCAGCCAATTGATGCCATTTTCCTGGGGCACCCTGCCTACCTGGTAGATACGTTTACCTTGTTGACCTCGCCTGACACCGAAAAGCCATGGAGCGCATCGTGGTGGATGTACCTCTTCCTTCCTGTTCTTTGGCTGCTTGGTTTCGTTGGGGCACATATCTTGAGGCGCCTTGGCTTGCCAAATCATGTTGTTTTGGATGACTACGAGTACAACGGCCTTCATGTCCAGACTTGGGGGGTTCTGCACTTCGGCCGCCACTTTCGCAACTCTTTGGAACTTCATGATGCTCGACGCAACGTGAGGGCAGCAGCCAGCAGGGCTGAGAAGACCGGCGCCCGGGTGCTAGGATTAGGTGCGCTCAACAAGGCAGAATCTTTGAACCGTGGAGGCCTGGACTTGGTTCAACACTTGCCTTTAAGCCGAAGCATGTGTGTGACTCATGGAGATCATCTCACAGCTGCTGCAGTGGTGGAGAATGTGCTACGGCTGGTCGCAAGGTTCCCTGAGTTTCGGGAGAAAATCTTCATGACCGGAGCCACGGGGAAGACCGGGAAGGCCGTTGCGCTGGCCTTATTGCGCCGCGGTGTCTCCGTGATGTGCCACAGTGGCAGCAAGCAAAGACGAGATGAATTGGAGACTCATGGGCTAGCCACTGCATCCCACCTGCGTGATGGGGCTGACTGCGGCATGTGGATTGTGGGTAAATATGACCAGTTGGTGAACCAAGTCATGCCTCTATCTGCTGTTGCCTGTGTCTTTGCGGTGCCAAATCCAGTTAATCCAGTGTCCCGCTCAGATGTCATGGTATATGCTGGTGCCACCATGCAGATTGATGAGTCGCGCTTGAAAGGACAACGAGCAAATCTGAAGCTCTTACGCCAAGAGATTTATGCATGCAATGCAGCCACCCTGCTTCTTGCATCAGGTTCCAAGCAGTTCGATGATTTGGGTGAAGTGGATCCACTGACATTGGAAGGCTACCTGGAGGGGGCTGAATCCATTGGCATCACTTTGAAGCCTCTTGAAGACTTGCATAGTAAGGGGCGGTAGCTCTTAGAATTTTGGGTTGTGACCTTTTTTGCATTTTGTGCTACAGCTACAGCTACCGCGGCGCAGGAGGCCAAAGGGCCTTAAGCCTTAGCGGAATGTGGCTCTCTCACAACCATTTTTCCAGTTGCGCAGCATGCGCAGTGGTTGTACAGCATGCACAGAGGTCATGGGATTGATCGACGCAATAGCAAACCAGACAACACGAAGACCCCAAGTTTTGATTTCTCATCAAGTTCGATGAATCTGGCTTGAAATGGGCTTGATGAGCCATGAAAGGTTTGCTGTTGTGTCTAAGTCCATGTCATTGCCTAGAGGCTGTGCCAACGCCCGTTTTGAGGGTTGAAAAGAAGTGTGCTTGATGTGCCAATCCCTGGTCCAATCGTGTTGGGTTGCCACCCTGGTTTCGTCCCCTACAGACGTTTTTATTGAAATCCTGCTTCAGGTTCAAGATCGAAGCGTCCTTTGACCGGGAAAACTGGTGGCGAAAAAAATGGTGGGTTCGAAGGTGCGGCGGTGGTGGGGCATTGAGAGCTGGAGAGCTTGCATTCATTGGAGGCATCAGGCCCGCGCCTTGCCCCTGAAACTCTAGTGAAACTGACTGTCCGACGGAGTTCTTGCCGTTCCGGACGATTCAGTCCAGGTTTGGAGTGTTTGCTTTACCCCTGTCATTCCGGTGGCAAAGAACTTGTGAAGTTTTGAGTTGCGAGCAATGGAGAAGATCCCATTGAAAAACCACCGGAAGTTTGATGCTTTTGCTTGAACTTATCTTTGCAATCACGTTGGTGGAGGTCATGAAAATTGCAGCCACACGGGTCGCTCGAGCACAGGACTTGCAGTTGACATAGAGATATATGTTTGCGGCGTTTTTGTTCCGAATGTGTTTCCTTGCATTTTCCCAAAAGACAATCCAAAACTCCGCAGATGCTTCCTGCAGGAAGTTCAAATCCATGGCCTGCAGAGAGCGTTGAGCGCCGGGGTGCCTTGGATGCGGCGCCAGTTCAAAGTTGTTAGTTTTCTTTTTAAGTTTGTGATGATTTTGTGCTGATTTTGATGCCGTTGCTTTCAGTTTGAACGCTTTGCGCTTCCAAAATGATCTGAAAGCCATTCATCATGGGGAAGTTTCATGACATCATGCATCATAGCACAGCGACACATGCGACCATGAAACCCAGCGTGGTTACAACGGCGCAACGACATTCAGCCAGGTTCGCACAGCGACACGTGTGTCTTTGCAAAGCTATGTTCATTGCTCTTACAGATGCCATGTACATGGATGCAGGGTTGAAACAGCGTGCACTTCAACACTGGGGGTCTTAAAACAAGGGAAGTTTACACAGGCTTAGCCTCCCTGTATATGCAACTGATGCAAAAGTGAACAGTGACAAGTCTTTAGGGGCAGGGTAACGTGTGGTTGAGCATGGATGCAAGAATGACCAGATAGGGCAGCAATACTAGTCTTCTGATAAGCAACGTTGCCTTTGACGGACCTTCCCGCTGAGCCCATGCAATTTGCATAGATGCAAGAGCGATAGATGTTCTGCGTGTGTGTGAATTAAGTTTTGCAAGTAGCAAGGGCATTTCAGTGCTGCAGGGGAATGGGTGTATACCGTATACCAGTGTTTGATAGTAGAACAGCTGCGCCAGGGAGAAATTAGCCTGGCGCTTTTACAATTATGGGCTGTACCATTCCAGCTGGATGTTTACTGTCAAACTGTTGGCATTTGTTGGCATGTGGGGTTTGGGGGGGTCACTTGTTTCAAGCACATGTGCAAATGTTTGATTGGCCCATCTAGCATCCAAAAACGTCACCATACGTTCGAACAGTGTTGGACACCTCTGTTGGACGTTGGACACAGAGCCCTTAACCAGGATGATTTCTGCGCGTGTGAAAAACAGCCTCTTTGAGATTGGGCTCTTAGGATGTTGCCTTCGGGCAAACTGCCAATGCGCCTGCCTCACGCCCCAGGCTGGGGTATAGCCTGGGATCACAAACGGAGATTGCGGTTTTGGAAGTAGCTTCTCCCATCGCTTTTCAGCTTTTCCATGAGATATCCGGAATTTACATGAATTTGTCACTATCTACGGTAGCGCATGTCCAACCGTCCAACCCTGCTTGACAGTGGCACAATGTGGCACATGTTGTTCAACCTGATTCTGCCAGGTCGAAACCCTCATCGGACACGGACAGGCGGGTCAGTTGCGTGTACCAGGCCGAAAGTCTGACATCAGTGAAAACTACAGCACATGGGATGAATTTCAAAGAGGCTTGGAAAGCTGTTTTGCGATTACTTGTCTTTTCCGAATTTTTGAGTTTGGTTGTTTTCTGTTTAAACTTTGACCCTCACAGGAAGCATGTGTACAATCAAGATTCGGCCAAGGCGCCGACGCTTGCACCAGCAGCAACGCCGGGTCCTGGTCAGGCTTGGAAACATAGGGCAAGATTGGCGAGATGTTCCTACCATTTGCATCCATTTGCGCGCTCTGGAGATGGCTGCTGTACATGATTAGAGGAAAGATTTGAAATAATTCACATGATTTCTCATAATTCGAGTCGTTTTGGTGATGGTAAAATCAATTATCTTTGAGGCCACGGAAGTCCTGTGACTTTTTGGGTCAGCCACTGCCGACGATTTCCAGGTCTCCAACTGCTGGGCTCTTAGGGATCGGTCTAGATTGCGATGTCACGGCGATGTCCGGCTCGCAGCATGCCGTCTTGATCAGTTTTGGTGTTGAGCTTTTGGCATGTTTTGGCTTTTTGGTGTTGAGCCAACAACAGAAAACTACCACAAGATATTCAAGATACCATTTCTTTGTATTGTCGCGCAAAAAGCAACCATGCGCCCTGGGCCAACCTTTGTGACACCCTTGTGACACCCTTGCGACCTTTCAGTTTTCGGCTTCAGACGGCTTGCCACGCATTCCAGCTATTTTCCAGCTATTTTCCAGCTATCTTCCACCATGCGTATGCAGCGTACGCAATGTGCACAGTGGATGCTGTGGTATCGCCTGGTCCTGTTCGCCTGGACCGCAGTCCTCATCGCCGGGGGCGCTGTCGCTTGGAAATTCATCTCGGAGCGCGGCTTTCATCTTCCAGCGATTCCAGGCGCCATGCCATGAAATGCCATGAAATGCCATGAAATGCCATGAAAGCCCTGTTTCGATCGTATGATGTGCAGCAACTGCCGTATAGATCCCCAGAACATTGAGCATCCCAGAACATCCTAGAACCTCCCAGAACCCAACTTTCGCACAGTGACACATGTTGATCATGTTGCATGCTGTTGCCGTGCCAGGCAGCCAGTACGACAAAGAGGAGCAGTCGTACCTGGGTTTCTTCGGTGATGGTGTGGATGGGGCTCAGGCTGCGCTGGTGCTTGGCAGTGATTCCCCAGTCATGGCGATGACCAACGTATCTACCTGTCAGATCAAACCAGCTCTGCAACAAGTTGGGAGCACTGGAAACACTTTCCAGTTGGAGTTGTCCTGTCAGAATGAGTCTGCACCTGGCGGTGGATGTATCACATCTTCACAACTCAGAAGTGAAGTGTACTCGCTGGTGAGCATGTTCATGTCCAACATGATGTCGCCAGAGAATTTGTCTCACTTCCTCGAGCTACAGGTGGAACCAATGCTGGATGCTGCTCCGGAGATGTTGGCTTGTCCGCATGTTGAGGACACCTTTCAAAAAAACCTGGCAGAAGCATCTTTCCAAGTGGAAGAGTCCCTTCGCCAGAAAATGCCGAACTGCGACTTAGCAGTTCTGTCTTTCTGGTCTCTGCCTCCTCAACAGTTTCAGCGCAACTTGACCTTTGCAGAGTTCAAGTTTGAAGTCACGGTCACGCTCCCGGCAGGAAGCTTTTGGAATGTTTTTCAAAAACTGCTCAGCTCCAAAAGCCAAGAACAAGTCATGGTGGCAGTTCGTGCGCACACATGCAACGGCTTGCCAGTTGCTGACTTCTCACAGGAGGCTCTTCAAGTGGCCAACATTCTGAAGGATGTTGCAGAGGCGGCAGAGGGCATCGATGGTACCAACTTGAAAGCCGAAGTGATGTCCTTCGCCATCATCGTGGAAAGTATCAGAGATGGGGTTGAAGTGGTGATGGCCATGTCAACAGGTCGGGCCTGGTAGGGATTTTCAATTTTCATCAGAAATGCGGCAGCCGAGAAGCTTCACAGAGAAATGCAGCCGTTGTAGTTCCAGTGTCTTTTTCAGCCTTTTCAGCTTTATTTTTTTGTGAAAAGTCTCCATGTCATTTTGGAGTGCGGATTGAATATAGCCGAGTGCTGCTTGAAACCGGAAACCTGCTTGGATGACATTATTAGCTTCGACGCCGGGACCGGTTGAAGGATGTTAAGGTGATTTAATTCACCTCGTATATGTCTTTATTTCGAACAAACTTTAGGCAATCTGTTCTGGTGCGCGCTGCAAGGATAGAGATCAGTTTCTTTACACAATGGTTGTTTGAAGGCAAACCAGTGGTGAAACCACCGCAACTTCACTGTTTGATGCAGTCTATTGTCTCTTTTTGCCAAAAATGAGTGGCGATGGTTTGAAGGGTATGGAACGAATAGAAAACTTTTGGCTTGGATGGTTTTTTGCTTGGGGTTTGCGAGAACCATTGATTGATGGTTGCAATTTGCAATGCGAACAAGTTGTTTTGCCAAGTTAAATTTGTTTTTGTATTTTTCTACATAGAATCAAATCTCCATCAATTTGCGAGAACAATGTTAGTCGACGCCACGCGAAATTCTAGTTTAACAACGAACTGTGGAGTGGAACTGAGGAATGTGTTTTGCACGTGTGGATTGCGTGGGAGGTTTTGGCTCTAGAGGTTTGCAGTTGACTTGTCAATAGCGGTTTATAGAGATGTTAAGCATAGTGCTTGTTTCCAAGCACGCCCTTGTCTTGTGCCAGTCATGAACTTCCGTTTATCCTTCCTCCTTCCTACCTTTCTTTCACGCCCACTAAGCACGTCCTCTTTGGTACTTGTGATTCCAAATGAATAGGGTCAACTAGATGATAGTTGAACCTATTGTTTTTGTACTTTGAAACAATTTTTAAAACGAAGTTCCAACTCTGTGGATGCACAGCATGTTTGTTTTTTTACTGTGATGCAAGCTTATTCATGTTGGAATTTTACATGTCAAAGTGGGTTGGTGTGGGAGGGTGATCCAAACAATAAGTTTGGACAATGCCATTTTGTTTTTACCCGCCCAACTCGCTTACTCGTTTCCCACCCTGGGGATTTGTCAAAGAACCAAAGATATGCAACTCTTGATGAATGCTATGCCTGGAAGATCTATGCAGATCACACCTGGGTACCAAACCGAAAGATTTGAGACTTCCCCTTGTTTGCGAGGAAAAAAGATGTGCTGAGTTCATTGGACGTTTTTCGTGGCGGCAGATTTTTATTTGCAGTTTTTCTCACGAGATTTTTCCGAGAGTTTTTCAAATCGTTTGCACAAACATGTTTGGGAACAAATGCACGGCCCCTTGTTTTGTTTAAATGCGCAAGCGGTTGCATGGCCCCTGCGAAAGGTTGCACAATGCGTGATGTCAACGATTGGCATCATAGGAGTTAGGATAAACAATTGGAAGTATCTGTTTGACAAGGGTGCTTAACAGATCTATAAATAACGGATCTAACTTAACTGACGCATGACTGCTTTTGGTTCTGGTCCGGCGGAGTTTTCTTGACGTCCAATCCAAAAAGGAACTGTGTGACTGTGTGTGTGAGATTTCCATTTGGAAAATGTTACAGAGTTGCAGCTGAGAGGATGCTGTTTTTTTTTTGGTTGTCAGCATGACTAGTAGTTGCAGCTGAGAGGATGCATCAAAGCGCTTGAGAAGACTGCCAACATCATCACAGCAGCCGGAGTGGTCATGATAATAGCCTTTTGCCCACTCCTGCTTTCTTCAACGCTAGTCTTGAAGCAGATTGGTTTCATGGCAATTGGTGGTTTGTCTATCAGTGCTTTCTGGAACACCAAAGTGGCCATGCCCGTGTGCTTGCACTTCTGCGGGAAGCACAGCTTTTGGCCTCGGAATTTGGAGAAAAAGCAGCGCTGCCAGCAGCCAATTGATGCCATTTTCCTGGGGCACCCTGCCTACCTGGTAGATACGTTTACCTTGTTGACCTCGCCTGACACCGAAAAGCCATGGAGCGCATCGTGGTGGATGTACCTCTTCCTTCCTGTTCTTTGGCTGTTTGGTTTCGTTGGGGCGCATATCTTGAGGCGCCTTGGCTTGCCAAATCATGTTGTTTTGGATGACTACGAGTACAACGGCCTTCATGTCCAGACTTGGGGGGTTCTGCACTTCGGCCGCCACTTTCGCAACTCTTTGGAACTTCATGATGCTCGACGCAACGTGAGGGCAGCAGCCAGCAGGGCTGAGAAGACCGGCGCCCGGGTGCTAGGATTAGGTGCGCTCAACAAGGCAGAATCTTTGAACCGTGGAGGCCTGGACTTGGTTCAGCACTTGCCTTTAAGCCGAAGCATGTGTGTGACTCATGGAGATCATCTCACAGCTGCTGCAGTGGTGGAGAATGTGCTACGGCTGGTCGCAAGGTTCCCTGAATTTCGGGAGAAAATCTTCATGACCGGAGCCACGGGGAAGACCGGGAAGGCCGTTGCGCTGGCCTTATTGCGCCGCGGTGTCTCCGTGATGTGCCACAGTGGCAGCAAGCAAAGACGAGATGAATTGGAGACTCATGGGCTAGCCACTGCATCCCACCTGCGTGATGGGGCTGACTGCGGCATGTGGATTGTGGGTAAATATGACCAGTTGGTGAACCAAGTCATGCCTCCATCTGCTGTTGCCTGTGTCTTTGCGGTGCCAAATCCAGTTAATCCAGTGTCCCGCTCAGATGTCATGGTATATGATGGTGCCACCATGCAGATTGATGAGTCGCGCTTGAAAGGACGACGAGCAAATCTGAAGCTCTTACGCCAAGAGATTTATGCATGCAATGCAGCCACCCTGCTTCTTGCATCAGGTTCCAAGCAGTTCGATGATTTGGGTGAAGTGGATCCACTGACATTGGAAGGCTACCTGGAGGGGGCTGAATCCATTGGCATCACTTTGAAGCCTCTTGAAGACTTGCATAGTAAGGGGCGGTAGCTCTTAGAATTTTGGGTTGTGACCTTTTTTGCACATTTGTGCTACAGCTACAGCTCCTGCGCGGGGCCTTAAGCCTTAGCGGAATGTGGCTCTCTCACAACCATTTTTCCAGTTGCGCAGCATGCGCAGTGGTTGTACAGCATGCACAGAGGTCATGGGATTGATCGACGCAATAGCAAACCAGACAGCACGAAGACCCCAAGTTTTGATTTCTCATCAAGTTCGATGAATCTGGCTTGAAATGGGCTTGATGAGCCATGAAAGGTTTGCTGTTGTGTCTAAGTCCATGTCATTGCCTAGAGGCTGTGCCAACGCCCGTTTTGAGGGTTGAAAAGAAGTGTGCTTGATGTGCCAATCCCTGGTCCAATCGTGTTGGGTTGCCACCCTGGTTTCGTCCCCTACAGACGTTTTTATTGAAATCCTGCTTCAGGTTCAAGATCGAAGCGTCCTTTGACCGGGAAAACTGGTGGCGAAAAAAATGGTGGGTTCGAAGGTGCGGCGGTGGTGGGGCATTGAGAGCTGGAGAGCTTGCATTCATTGGAGGCATCAGGCCCGCGCCTTGCCCCTGAAACTCTAGTGAAACTGACTGTCCGACGGAGTTCTTGCCGTTCCGGACGATTCAGTCCAGGTTTGGAGTGTTTGCTTTACCCCTGTCATTCCGGTGGCAAAGAACTTGTGAAGTTTTGAGTTGCGAGCAATGGAGAAGATCCCATTGAAAAACCACCGGAAGTTTGATGCTTTTGCTTGAACTTATCTTTGCAATCACGTTGGTGGAGGTCATGAAAATTGCAGCCACACGGGTCGCTCGAGCACAGGACTTGCAGTTGACATAGAGATATATGTTTGCGGCGTTTTTGTTCCGAATGTGTTTCCTTGCATTTTCCCAAAAGACAATCCAAAACTCCGCAGATGCTTCCTGCCGGAAGTTCAAATCCATGGCCTGCAGAGAGCGTTGAGCGCCGGGGTGCCTTGGATGCGGCGCCAGTTCAAAGTTGTTAGTTTTCTTTTTAAGTTTGTGATGATTTTGTGCTGATTTTGATGCCGTTGCTTTCAGTTTGAACGCTTTGCGCTTCCAAAATGATCTGAAAGCCATTCATCATGGGGAAGTTTCATGACATCATGCATCATAGCACAGCTTCACATGCGACCATGAAACCCAGCGTGGTTACAACGGCGCAACGACATTCAGCCAGGTTCGCACAGCGACACGTGTGTCTTTGCAAAGCTATGTTCATTGCTCTTACAGATGCCATGTACATGGATGCAGGGTTGAAACAGCGTGCACTTCAACACTGGGGGTCTTAAAACAAGGGAAGTTTACACAGGCTTAGCCTCCCTGTATATGCAACTGATGCAAAAGTGAACAGTGACAAGTCTTTAGGGGCAGGGTAACGTGTGGTTGAGCATGGATGCAAGAATGACCAGATAGGGCAGCAATACTAGTCTTTTGATAAGCAACGTTGCCTTTGACGGACCTTCCCGCTGAGCCCATGCAATTTGCATAGATGCAAGAGCGATAGATGTTCTGCGTGTGTGTGAATTAAGTTTTGCAAGTAGCAAGGGCATTTCAGTGCTGCAGGGGAATGGGTGTATACCGTATACCAGTGTTTGATAGTAGAACAGCTGCGCCAGGGAGAAATTAGCCTGGCGCTTTTACAATTATGGGCTGTACCATTCCAGCTGGATGTTTACTGTCAAACTGTTGGCATTTGTTGGCATGTGGGGTTTGGGGGGGTCACTTGTTTCAAGCACATGTGCAAATGTTTGATTGGCCCATCTAGCATCCAAAAACGTCACCATACGTTCGAACAGTGTTGGACACCTCTGTTGGACGTTGGACACAGAGCCCTTAACCAGGATGATTTCTGCGCGTGTGAAAAACAGCCTCTTTGAGATTGGGCTCTTAGGATGTTGCCTTCGGGGAAACTGCCAATGCGCCTGCCTCACGCCCCAGGCTGGGATATAGCCTGGGATCACAAACGGAGATTGCGGTTTTGGAAGTAGCTTCTCCCATCGCTTTTCAGCTTTTCCATGAGATATCCGGAATTTACATGAATTTGTCACTATCTACGGTAGCGCATGTCCAACCGTCCAACCCTGCTTGACAGTGGCACAATGTGGCACATGTTGTTCAACCTGATTCTGCCAGGTTGAAACCCTCATCAGACACGGACAGGCGGGTCATGAGTTGCGTGTACCAGGCCGAAAGTCTGACATCAGTGAAAACTACAGCACATGGGGATGAATTTCAAAGAGGCTTGGAAAGCTGTTTTGCGATTACTTGTCTTTTCCGAATTTTTGAGTTTGGTTGTTTTCTGTTTAAACTTTGACCCTCACAGGAAGCATGTGTACAATCAAGATTCGGCCAAGGCGCCGACGCTTGCACCAGCAGCAACGCCGGGTCCTGGTCAGGCTTGGAAACATAGGGCAAGATTGGCGAGATGTTCCTACCATTTGCATCCATTTGCGCGCTTTGGAGATGGCTGCTGTACATGATTAGAGGAAAGATTTGAAATAATTCACATGATTTCTCATAATTCGAGTCGTTTTGGTGATGGTAAAATCAATTATCTTTGAGGCCACGGAAGTCCTGTGACTTTTTGGGTCAGCCACTGCCGACGATTTCCAGGTCTCCAACTGCTGGGCTCTTAGGGATCGGTCTAGATTGCGATGTCACGGCGATGTCCGGCTCGCAGCATGCCGTCTTGATCAGTTTTGGTGTTGAGCTTTTGGCATGTTTTGGCTTTTTGGTGTTGAGCCAACAACAGAAAACTACCACAAGATATTCAAGATACCATTTCTTTGTATTGTCGCGCAAAAAGCAACCATGCGCCCTGGGCCAACTTCAGACGGCTTGCAACGCATTCCAGCTATTTTCCAGCTTTCCACCATGCGTATGCAGCGTACGCAATGTGCACAGTGGATGCTGTGGTACCGCCTGGTCCTGTTCGCCTGGACCGCAGTCCTCATCGCCGGAGGCGCTGTCGCTTGGAAGTTCATCTCGGAGCGCGGCTTTCATCTTCCAGCGATTCCAGGCGCCATGCCATGAAATGCCATGAAATGCCATGAAAACCCTGTTTCGATCGTATGATGTGCAGCAACTGCCGTATAGATCCCCAGAACATCGAGCATCCCAGAACATCCCAGAACATCCTAGAACCTCCCAGAACCCAACTTTCGCACAGTGACACATGTTGATCATGTTGCATGCTGTTGCCGTGCCAGGCAGCCAGTACGACAAAGAGGAGCAGTCGTACCTGGGTTTCTTCGGTGATGGTGTGGATGGGGCTCAGGCTGCGCTGGTGCTTGGCAGTGATTCTCCAGTCATGGCAATGACCAACGTATCTACCTGTCAGATCAAACCAGCTCTGCAACAAGTTGGGAGCACTGGAAACACTTTCCAGTTGGAGCTGTCCTGTCAGAATGAGTCGGCACCTGGCGGTGGATGTATCACATCTTCACAGCTCAGGAGTGAAGTGTACTCGCTGCTGAGCATGTTCATGTCCAACAGGATGTCGCCAGAGAATTTGTCTCACTTCCTCGAGCTACAGGTGGAACCAATGCTGGATGCTGCTCCGGAGATATTGGCTTGTCCGCATGTTGAGGACACCTTTCAAAAAAACCTGGCAGAAGCATCTTTCCAAGTGGAAGAGTCCCTTCGCCAGAAAATGCCGAACTGCGACTTAGCAGTTCTGTCTTTCTGGTCTCTGCCTCCTCAACAGTTTCAGCGCAACTTGACCTTTGCAGAGTTCAAGTTTGAAGTCACGGTCACGCTCCCGGCAGGAAGCTTTTGGAATGTTTTTCAAAAACTGCTCAGCTCCAAAAGCCAAGAACAAATCATGGTGGCAGTTCGTGCGCACACATGCAACGGCTTGCCAGTTGCTGACTTCTCACAGGAGGCTCTTCAAGTGGCCAACATTCTGAAGGATGTTGCAGAGGCGGCAGAGGGCATCGACGGTACCAACTTGAAAGCCGAAGTGATGTCCTTCGCCATCATCGTGGAAAGTATCAGAGATGGGGTTGAAGTGGTGATGGCCATGTCAACAGGTCGGGCCTGGTAGGGATTTTCAGTTTTCATCAGAAATGCGGCAGCCGTTGTAGTTCCAGTGTCTTTTTCAGCCTTTTCAGCTTTATTTTTTTTGTGAAAAGTCTCCATGTCATTTTGGAGTGCGGATTGAATATAGCCGAGTGCTGCTTGAAACCGGAAACCTGCTTGGATGACATGTTTGCTGAATTTCTACTGGTGCAGGTACCCTTCCCCTTGGGATTGCGGTCTTGGCATACATGGTGGGGAACCCGCGCTTGGTGATCATTGCCATCATCAATGTGCTAGCTGCCGTCACAGGTTCGGTGCTGGTCATGGAGTGCCTTGTAACCCACCTGATGCCGGTGAGCATTTTCACGCCGCCCTTCTTGATTGCAGTGGTCCTGCCATAGTCCATGACTATGCCTTGTTTTCTTTTGAGCAGATTCCCAGGGAGACAGCAGCAGGTTGCCTCAGCAGCGAAAGCCATGGCATATCAGCCTTTCCACATCTGCGTATCTTCGCGCAAGCTGGTGTGATCTTAGCATGCGGCTTTGCCCTGCTTACGGTGGAGTATTGGCGAGGGGAAAAAGCAGGAGAGAGGAAAAAGGTCTGTGCGAGTTATGAGCAGGGAGGCGGATGGATGACGCCAGTGCAACTGGTCAGTGCTATGGGAGCAGGTGGGCTTGTGGCGGTGGCTGTGGCCATGGCGGCCAACCTCACCTTGACCCCAGCTCTGATTTTAGGAACGCGACCCACTTTCTGGATTAGCAAGCCCGATGCACCTTGTCGACCTTGTCGTCAAGCTCCAGAGGGAGATGCTGAAGCACCAGGTGACGAAGAGTTGCATGTTCCCAATGTTTCCATGGGCTTTTGGCGGAGATTTGGGGAGCGGTTGACGAGCTGTGCCAAGCCTCTTCTGTTCTTGATTCTACTCTCTGCAGCCCCTTGCGTTTGGAAGGACTCGATGCCTTCTTCAGACATGTTGGGTTTCACACCAGCCCTTCCACAAGGCTCGTCCACAGCCAAAATCTTCCACAGCATTGGTGAAGAGTTTGGATATGAAGTTCTTTTCCCCACAACAATCGGGCTGGTGGCTCCAGCTGAAGTGAACCTGGAAGCGTGGAGGCTCCAGGCTTGCAAGGCTTTACAGGAGATTGGGGAAGAGGTGTACAGAAGTGACTTCACGAGTTCAACCTTCATGAGTGAAGTCATCATTGATGGCAAGTGCTTGGCAGTTGATGTTGCTGGAAGTCTGCTGAAGTGGTGGCAAACCAATGGACAGGAAGGTACTGTCGTCTACATCGACTACCCATTGAATCCTTTGTCCATCGATGGACAACGATGGACCAAGAGCTTGCAGAGAGCTGTGGAAGACCATCATCGGGGCAGATGGTATGTGCATGGATATGGTCCACTCTTGTCCAGCCAATCTGGTGAGATTCGCGAGTTTTTTCCATATTTGGTTGTTGCAACGGTTTGCGCGGTCCTTCTCATTTCCATTTGCTTCACACGATCTGTTTTATGGAGCTTGCGGGCCCTCCTTTGCCTGTTCTGGATGTTAGCTGTTCTTTGGTGTTTGTCCTCCCTCGTCTTTCCTGAAGGGCTATACTACATTGTGCCTTCCATGATGTTGCCCTTCCTGGTGGGTGTGGCCTTGGATTATGACATTTTCTATACTGAGGCAGTCTTGGAAGAATGCAATGGTGGCCTCCCAGTGAAAAAGGCTGGCATCAAAGCGCTTGAGAAGACTGCCAACATCATCACAGCAGCCGGAGTGGCCATGATAATAGCCTTTTGCCCACTCCTGCTTTCTTCAACGTTAGTCTTGAAGCAGATTGGTTTCATGGCAATTGGTGGTTTGTCTATCAGTGCTTTCTGGAACACCAAAGTGGCCATGCCCGTGTGCTTGCACTTCTTCGGGAAGCACAGCTTTTGGCCTCGGAATTTGGAGAAAAAGCAGCGCTGCCAGCAGCCAATTGATGCCATTTTCCTGGGGCACCCTGCCTACCTGGTAGATACGTTTACCTTGTTGACCTCGCCTGACACTGAAAAGCCATGGAGCGCATCGTGGTGGATGTACCTCTTCCTTCCTGTTCTTTGGCTGTTTGGTTTCGTTGGGGCACATATCTTGAGGCGCCTTGGCTTGCCAAATCATGTTGTTTTGGATGACTACGAGTACAACGGCCTTCATGTCCAGACTTGGGGGGTTCTGCACTTCGGCCGCCACTTTCGCAACTCTTTGGAACTTCATGATGCTCGACGCAACGTGAGGGCAGCAGCCAGCAGGGCTGAGAAGACCGGCGCCCGGGTGCTAGGATTAGGTGCGCTCAACAAGGCAGAATCTTTGAACCGTGGAGGCCTGGACTTGGTTCAACACTTGCCTTTAAGCCGAAGCATGTGTGTGACTCATGGAGATCATCTCACAGCTGCTGCAGTGGTGGAGAATGTGCTACGGCTGGTCGCAAGGTTCCCTGAGTTTCGGGAGAAAATCTTCATGACCGGAGCCACGGGGAAGACCGGGAAGGCCGTTGCGCTGGCCTTATTGCGCCGCGGTGTCTCCGTGATGTGCCACAGTGGCAGCAAGCAAAGACGAGATGAATTGGAGACTCATGGGTTGGCCACTGCATCCCACCTGCGTGATGGGTCTGACTGTGGCATGTGGATTGTGGGTAAATGTGACCAGTTGGTGAACCAAGTCATGCCTCTATCTGCTGTTGCCTGTGTCTTTGCGGTGCCAAATCCAGTTAATCCAGTGTCCCGCTCAGATGTCATGGTATATGCTGGTGCCACCATGCAGATTGATGAGTCGCGCTTGAAAGGACAACGAGCAAATCTGAAGCTCTTACGCCAAGAGATTTATGCATGCAATGCAGCCACCCTGCTTCTTGCATCAGGTTCCAAGCAGTTCGATGATTTGGGTGAAGTGGATCCACTGACATTGGAAGGCTACCTGGAGGGGGCTGAATCCATTGGCATCACTCTGAAGCCTCTTGAAGACTTGCATAGTAAGGGGCGGTAGCTCTTAGAATTTTGGGTTGTGACCTTTTTTGCACATTTGTGCTACAGCTACAGCTACCGCGGCGCAGGAGGCCAAAGGGCCTTAAGCCTTAGCGGAATGTGGCTCTCTCACAACCATTTTTCCAGTTGCGCAGCATGCGCAGTGGTTGTACAGCATGCACAGAGGTCATGGGATTGATCGACGCAATAGCAAACCAGACAACACGAAGACCCCAAGTTTTGATTTCTCATCAAGTTCGATGAATCTCGCTTGAAATGGGCTTGATGAGCCATGAAAGGTTTGCTGTTGTGTCTAAGTCCATGTCATTGCCTAGAGGCTGTGCCAACGCCCGTTTTGAGGGTTGAAAAGAAGTGTGCTTGATGTGCCAATCCCTGGTCCAATCGTGTTGGGTTGCCACCCTGGTTTCGTCCCCTACAGACGTTTTTATTGAATTCCTGCTTCAGGTTCAAGATCGAAGCGTCCTTTGACCGGGAAAACTGGTGGCGAAAAAAATGGTGGGTTCGAAGGTGCGGCGGTGGTGGGGCATTGAGAGCTGGAGAGCTTGCATTCATTGGAGGCATCAGGCCCACGCCTTGCCCCTGAAACTCCAGTGAAACTGACTGTCCGACGGAGTTCTTGCCGTTCCGGACGATTCAGTCCAGGTTTGGAGTGTTTGCTTTACCCCTGTCATTCCGGTGGCAAAGAACTTGTGAAGTTTTGAGTTGCGAGCAATGGAGAAGATCCCATTGAAAAACCACCGGAAGTTTGATGCTTTTGCTTGAACTTATCTTTGCAATCACGTTGGTGGAGGTCATGAAAATTGCAGCCACACGGGTCGCTCGAGCACAGGACTTGCAGTTGACATAGAGATATATGTTTGCGGCGTTTTTGTTCCGAATGTGTTTCCTTGCATTTTCCCAAAAGACAATCCAAAACTCCGCAGATGCTTCCTGCAGGAAGTTCAAATCCATGGCCTGCAGAGAGCGTTGAGCGCCGGGGTGCCTTGGATGCGGCGCCAGTTCAAAGTTGTTAGTTTTCTTTTTAAGTTTGTGATGATTTTGTGCTGATTTTGATGCCGTTGCTTTCAGTTTGAACGCTTTGCGCTTCCAAAATGATCTGAAAGCCATTCATCATGGGGAAGTTTCATGACATCATGCATCATAGCACAGCTTCACATGCGACCATGAAACCCAGCGTGGTTACAACGGCGCAACGACATTCAGCCAGGTTCGCACAGCGACACGTGTGTCTTTGCAAAGCTATGTTCATTGCTCTTACAGATGCCATGTACATGGATGCAGGGTTGAAACAGCGTGCACTTCAACACTGGGGGTCTTAAAACAAGGGAAGTTTACACAGGCTTAGCCTCCCTGTATATGCAACTGATGCAAAAGTGAACAGTGACAAGTCTTTAGGGGCAGGGTAACGTGTGGTTGAGCATGGATGCAAGAATGACCAGATAGGGCAGCAATACTAGTCTTCTGATAAGCAACGTTGCCTTTGACGGACCTTCCCGCTGAGCCCATGCAATTTGCATAGATGCAAGAGCGATAGATGTTCTGCGTGTGTGTGAATTAAGTTTTGCAAGTAGCAAGGGCATTTCAGTGCTGCAGGGGAATGGGTGTATACCGTATACCAGTGTTTGATAGTAGAACAGCTGCGCCAGGGAGAAATTAGCATGGCGCTTTTACAATTATGGGCTGTACCATTCCAGCTGGATGTTTACTGTCAAACTGTTGGCATTTGTTGGCATGTGGGGTTTGGGGGGGTCACTTGTTTCAAGCACATGTGCAAATGTTTGATTGGCCCATCTAGCATCCAAAAACGTCACCATACGTTCGAACAGTGTTGGACACCTCTGTTGGACGTTGGACACAGAGCCCTTAACCAGGATGATTTCTGCGCGTGTGAAAAACAGCCTCTTTGAGATTGGGCTCTTAGGATGTTGCCTTCGGGGAAACTGCCAATGCGCCTGCCTCACGCCCCAGGCTGGGGTATATCCTGGGATCACAAACGGAGATTGCGGTTTTGGAAGTAGCTTCTCCCATCGCTTTTCAGCTTTTCCATGAGATATCCGGAATTTACATGAATTTGTCACTATCTACGGTAGCGCATGTCCAACCGTCCAACCCTGCTTGACAGTGGCACAATGTGGCACATGTTGTTCAACCTGATTCTGCCAGGTCGAAACCCTCATCGGACACGGACAGGCGGGTCATGAGTTGCGTGTACCAGGCCGAAAGTCTGACATCAGTGAAAAACTACAGCACATGGGATGAATTTCAAAGAGGCTTGGAAAGCTGTTTTGCGATTACTTGTCTTTTCCGAATTTTTGAGTTTGGTTGTTTCCTGTTTAAACTTTGACCCTCACAGGAAGCATGTGTACAATCAAGATTCGGCCAAGGCGCCGACGCTTGCACCAGCAGCAACGCCGGGTCCTGGTCAGGCTTGGAAACATAGGGCAAGATTGGCGAGATGTTCCTACCATTTGCATCCATTGCGCGCTTTGGAGATGGCTGCTGTACATGATTAGAGGAAAGATTTGAAATAATTCACATGATTTCTCATAATTCGAGTCGTTTTGGTGATGGTAGAATCAATTATCTTTGAGGCCACGGAAGTCCTGTGACTTTTTGGGTCAGCCACTGCCGACGATTTCCAGGTCTCCAACTGCTGGGCTCTTAGGGATCGGTCTAGATTGCGATGTCACGGCGATGTCCGGCTCGCAGCATGCCGTCTTGATCAGTTTTGGTGTTGAGCTTTTGGCATGTTTTGGCTTTTTGGTGTTGAGCCAACAACAGAAAACTACCACAAGATATTCAAGATACCATTTCTTTGTATTGTCGCGCAAAAAGCAACCATGCGCCCTGGGCCAACCTTTGTGACACCCTTGTGACACCCTTGCGACCTTTCAGTTTTCGGCTTCAGACGGCTTGCCACGCATTCCAGCTATTTTCCAGCTATTTTCCAGCTATCTTCCACCATGCGTATGCAGCGTACGCAATGTGCACAGTGGATGCTGTGGTATCGCCTGGTCCTGTTCGCCTGGACCGCAGTCCTCATCGCCGGGGGCGCTGTCGCTTGGAAATTCATCTCGGAGCGCGGCTTTCATCTTCCAGCGATTCCAGGCGCCATGCCATGAAATGCCATGAAATGCCATGAAAACCCTGTTTCGATCGTATGATGTGCAGCAACTGCCGTATAGATCCCCAGAACATCGAGCATCCCAGAACATCCCAGAACATCCCAGAACATCCCAGAACCTCCCAGAACCCAACTTTCGCACAGTGACACATGTTGATCATGTTGCATGCTGTTGCCGTGCCAGGCAGCCAGTACGACAAAGAGGAGCAGTCGTACCTGGGTTTCTTCGGTGATGGTGTGGATGGGGCTCAGGCTGCGCTGGTGCTTGGCAGTGATTCCCCAGTCATGGCGATGACCAACGTATCTACCTGTCAGATCAAACCAGCTCTGCAACAAGTTGGGAGCACTGGAAACACTTTCCAGTTGGAGTTGTCCTGTCAGAATGAGTCTGCACCTGGCGGTGGATGTATCACATCTTCACAACTCAGAAGTGAAGTGTACTCGCTGGTGAGCATGTTCATGTCCAACATGATGTCGCCAGAGAATTTGTCTCACTTCCTCGAGCTACAGGTGGAACCAATGCTGGATGCTGCTCCGGAGATGTTGGCTTGTCCGCATGTTGAGGACACCTTTCAAAAAAACCTGGCAGAAGCATCTTTCCAAGTGGAAGAGTCCCTTCGCCAGAAAATGCCGAACTGCGACTTAGCAGTTCTGTCTTTCTGGTCTCTGCCTCCTCAACAGTTTCAGCGCAACTTGACCTTTGCAGAGTTCAAGTTTGAAGTCACGGTCACGCTCCCAGCAGGAAGCTTTTGGAATGTTTTTCAAAAACTGCTCAGCTCCAAAAGCCAAGAACAAATCATGGTGGCAGTTCGTGCGCACACATGCAACGGCTTGCCAGTTGCTGACTTCTCACAGGAGGCTCTTCAAGTGGCCAACATTCTGAAGGATGTTGCAGAGGCGGCAGAGGGCATCGACGGTACCAACTTGAAAGCCGAAGTGATGTCCTTCGCCATCATCGTGGAAAGTATCAGAGATGGGGTTGAAGTGGTGATGGCCATGTCAACAGGTCGGGCCTGGTAGGGATTTTCAGTTTTCATCAGAAATGCGGCAGCCGAGAAGCTTCACAGAGAAATGCAGCCGTTGTAGTTCCAGTGTCTTTTTCAGCCTTTTCAGCTTTATTTTTTTGTGAAAAGTCTCCATGTCATTTTGGAGTGCGGATTGAATATAGCCGAGTGCTGCTTGAAACCGGAAACCTGCTTGGATGACATGTTTGCTGAATTTCTACTGGTGCAGGTACCCTTCCCCTTGGGATTGCGGTCTTGGCATACATGGTGGGGAACCCGCGCTTGGTGATCATTGCCATCATCAATGTACTAGCTGCCGTCACAGGTTCGGTGCTGGTCATGGAGTGCCTTGTAACCCACCTGATGCCGGTGAGCATTTTCACGCCGCCCTTCTTGATTGCAGTGGTCCTGTCCATGTCCATTGACTATGCCTTGTTTCTTTTGAGCAGATTCCAGAAGGAGACAGCAGCAGGTGCAGCAGCAGCTGAAGCCATGGCTATCAGCCTTTCCACATCTGGCCGTATCGTCGCGCAAGCTGGTGTGATCTTAGCATGCTGCTTTGCCTGCTTACTGATGACGCCAGTGCAACTGGTCAGTGCTATGGGAGCAGGTGGGCTTGTGGCGGTGGCTGTGGCCATGGCGGCCAACCTCACCTTGACCCCAGCTCTGATTTTAGGAACGCGACCCACTTTCTGGATTAGCAAGCCCAATGCACCTTGTCGACCTTGTCGTCAAGCTCCAGAGGGAGATGCTGAAGCACCAGGTGACGAAGAGTTGCATGTTCCCAATGTTTCCATGGGCTTTTGGCGGAGATTTGGGGAGCGGTTGACGAGCTGTGCCAAGCCTCTTCTGTTCTTGATTCTACTCTCTGCAGCCCCTTGCGTTTGGAAGGACTCGATGCCTTCTTCAGACATGTTGGGTTTCACACCAGCCCTTCCACAAGGCTCGTCCACAGCCAAAATCTTCCACAGCATTGGTGAAGAGTTTGGATATGAAGTTCTTTTCCCCACAACAATCGGGCTGGTGGCTCCAGCTGAAGTGAACCTGGAAGCGTGGAGGCTCCAGGCTTGCAAGGCTTTACAGGAGATTGGGGAAGAGGTGTACAGAAGTGACTTCACGAGTTCAACCTTCATGAGTGAAGTCATCATTGATGGCAAGTGCTTGGCAGTTGATGTTGCTGGAAGTCTGCTGAAGTGGTGGCAAACCAATGGACAGGAAGGTACCGTCGTCTACATCGACTACCCATTGAATCCTTTGTCCATCGATGGACAACGATGGACCAAGAGCTTGCAGAGAGCTGTGGAAGACCATCATCGGGGCAGATGGTATGTGCATGGATA